GAATTAATATGTTAAATTGATTAGTTTGTTTCTTTTAATCTATATTAAAATTTGTTAGTTCATTGTAAGGTTGTCTATTATTTCTTGTACTTCTTTGGGGAATTACAAGAAAATTTGGGATTTTGAGTTTTGTGAAACTAATGTAATGAATCAGTCGCTATAACCAATGGAGATTTTCAGATAAATTATATATTTGATAATATTTACGGCCAAAAATTCGAACTAAGAATGCAAGGCACAGTTCATAATCAAGTAACTTACCTTTGATATATAAATTATAAATTTGAACATTTATATGGTCAAAATTCAAACTTAGAATGAAAAGTCATAATGTATTATCAAGGAATTTTGAGTTTGTTAAGCTAATGTAATGGATCAGTTGCTATAAACCAATGATAATTTTCAGCAAAATTTTATATTTTGATAATGTATAAGGTCAAAAATTCAAACTAAGAATGACAAGACAGGTTCATAGCCAAGTAACTTAACTTAAGATATATAAATTATAAATTTCGAAAATTTTATTGTCAAAAATTCAAACTAAGAATGAAAAGTCACAGTTCATTATCAAGGGATTTTGAATTTTTGTTAAACTAATGTAATGGACCAGTTGCTATAACCAGTGATAATTTACAGCAAAATTTTATTCTTTGATAATGTATAAGGTCAACAATTTGAACTAAAAATTACAAGACAAGGTTTATAATTAAGTAACTTATATTAAGATATATAAATTATAAATTTCGAAAACTGAAATGGTAAAAAATTTAAGCTAAGAATGATAAGTCACAGTTCATTATCATGTAACTTACTTTACTTGATAATGAAGACTACAATTGTCCAAAATTTTATAAAATTGGATCATGCTGAAAATCACAGTACCATATATCTTATTGTTAGTTCTGTATATTATATGTCCAACCCGTCATCCTCCAGCTCTTCTCATGTTACAAGGGCAGAAATTCACAAAAAACACAGCTAGTTACGTAATTGTAAAGGGTTCTTCAAAGAACTTTGAAGTCGTCGGGTTTACGGATGAATCAATTAGGTCGGAAAACAATTAACCAACTGAGCGCCTAAGTTTTGCTTTCCATTCGGAGATAGAGTCATTTGTAGGGAAGGATTAGGCTCTGACGTAAAGTGAGTCATAAAATTTGTATGCGCGATATTTATCGGAATTTCACGCCCTCTGTTAATTTTGAGCGTGAATGTCAATGCTTCTCGTCAATTCTTTAGACAAACGACTTGCTGGATATTGGAAAATGGGATTATTGATCGCAATTGTTTTATTTTACTTCAGCTTGAGAGCATACTCGTATTCTTTGCTTAGCTTGAATAATCTAATGAACGAAGTGTCTAAATGAAAATAAACATTAATCTGTATAAAACATAAGGTTCTACCGCGTATCAATAATCGTAGTTATTATTATTGCATTGGTGATTCATGGGACTGATCATAAAAACACTTTATTTAATTCTCATACATCAATACTAATTTTAATAGTTAATTTTAATTTTGATAGAATGGGCTAATTTTATCAAAATCTTCAAAATCGGAATAACAAACTATATTTTTCATTCTTTTTAGGTACAAAGAGAAAGGGCCGCCATGTGGGCGCTTCGGACTGTCCGCGTGAAAAATGGATGCTGGGATCCGATGCTCATATCTGAAGGATTTTTTCTGCCGCTAATATTTTTCAGTGAGACAGAACAATATGTTACATGTCAAAAGAAATGTCATTGTGTTTTGTCTATTTTTGTTATACTTCTATATCTTATATTGAAAAGTATTTGGCGTTGTATAGTAGAATTGGCGTTGATTGGCGTTGTATAGTAGAAAAAATTTGATTCTCAAATGTTATGTACTGTATTAAATGGTATATATTATGAAATCGCTGAATGCACTTAAACGTAAATTTTCTCCTAAAATAATAATCTTAACTGAATATAGATATTTGATTTGCCAAATAGTATACGTGATAACATTAGCATAATAGCGATAAAGAGTATCTATAATCCGATTTTGTTTATATTTTACAATTCCAAATAAATTCCAATCAACCCTGCATAAATTTGAAATCTATTCATAATAACAATAGTCATAACTATTGCAACTTTCTTTATTTATTTAACTATGCAAACAGTGTTGTTTAACTTAAGAATATTATTACAGCATTTCTTTTTTTTTGAAATATAACGCCAAGCAATTTACTTTAGCGGTAAACCAATTATAACATTTTTCTTTGAACTTGGTAGTTCAGAGCAGTGAAGTTTAAATGACGCTTTAAATATATTCAATGCAAAAACATTTCATATTACTTAAAGCGCAGAAGTTTTGTTGAAAATAGTCACAGCAAATAGAATTATTTGCATCTAATATTAGACTAATTTTAATGTATTGTATTTATGAATAATTAGGCTTTATTTTATATAATATTTAATATCATTTATTTTATATAATATTAATAGGATGGGACAGGGCACAATGGTCCAATTTGGCTTTAAGCAATTAAATTTTAAAACAAAATTCAAGATAAATAACAACTATCTGACTATGTTCAGTAAAACTCTTAACTGATTCATCCTTGTAGAATAGTGTTTCTTGCTGCTTTTTGAAAAATGTGTCACTTTTTATTTTTACCCCATACGCGGGGTAAAATGGTACAGTAAGAAGGCAAAGAGGTCCAATGTCTTACTTTTAAATTCAAAAGAATTTTATAAAGTCATAGCTACATTATTCAACCAATGCAAAATACAAATTTTATTGATAAAATTTCACAGAGATAATACCGTATATAACATAAATCTGGTATGCCGTCAGAGATAATCGTCAGCAATGGTTGAAAGAACAATTATTTAACTTATCTCTTGTAAAATTGTCTTTGTTAACTTAGGGACCGATTCTGCCGATAACAGAGAAATATTATGACAAGGTCATGTTATGAAAAACTTTCCATTATTGACAAAGCCATGCGGTTGGTGCGCAGTCAGGCGGATTTCTCGAGTTATCTGATAAAAAAACATAACCTAAAGCCGCAAAATGTCAAAAAAACGATGTTAGATAACATTGTGTTTCATATACAGCTTCATAACATATGTGTGATGTTGTAGTTTATGTGTAAAACGCCCTGAATGATCAACAATTACAAGACATTTGACAGTATTCACTATGATTCATTAGCATAATGTATAGAAGTCGGAGCGTAACATGGCCTTGCCGTAAGATTTTTCTCTTATGCGGCAGAATCGGACCCGTAATTTACTTTTTAATTTACTATTTTTTATTGTTTACACCTTTGGCAAGGTAAAGGTCCAGTTGGTTCTTTTTACAGTACCCACATGCATGCTTTTATAGACGTTGTATAAGAAAACTGTTAAATCTAATTTAAAAATAATAATACATCTTATAAATTTGAATAACGTAGATTTGAAAATTATATTAAGATCGCGTAAACTAAACCACAGTGCTCACAACCAAAAAAACTAGCAACGAAAAGAAATACTTCTGTTAAGGATTTTCAAACATTGCCATTTATCTCTTGATAGCAACGTCGTAAGATTCAAGGTGGTCGCTGGTTATACATCTTTTTTCTTCTACTTTAAAATATTGGTTTGTAAAATGTTATTAACTTCACTTGTTTGTGATATTGTTGGTGGATCTTTTTCCAAGGACCTTAAAACCCTACTCGACTCTAATCTTATATATAAAAATGTAGCAAATGTATTGGTATGCGCATAACTCAACAATGCCTGACCAATTTGGACAAATATTTTTTTTATATATTCGTTGAAGTCCAAGGATGGTTCTCACAGCGAAACAAAATCGAATAATTACCGGGAAAACCCTATAAAATCACT